GGTTAATTATTTTATAGTAGAATTAAATATTAATAATAAATTAATTTAATAATAATTATTTCATAATTAAAAATTTAAAAGAAACCTGAATTTTGAAATTTGAAATGTATTTTGGTATTTTTGAAATGTGTATAAGTAAAAGCAGGATTTATGTATTATTCCCAAAGTTTTAATTGAATACACCATAACTTTTAGAGATTTTTTAAAAGTTAATAAAAGTCTCAATTGAATACACAACTACTTATTTTTTTATAGAGTCTACAAAAGTCTACATTGAATACCCCGTGCTATTAAAAGTATACTGCTACTCTAAAAGTATACTGCTACTCAAAAGACAAAAATATGACACCTTATTCATGACTCATACAAGAAAAAAATGCTTAAATTTCATCTACATTCTGTCTGCTAGCAAATTTGCTGAACTCATTATTATTCTTACATCAATTTCTGAGAAAAAAAAACTACAAGAACTCTCTAGAGCGGTGGAATAGCAGTATAATCAGAATTGAACTTGAGGTTCGATTATTAATAATTTCCATCAATTTTAACTTCAGTTTCATTTTCATTTTCCTATTAATCATGCATGATTGTGTAATTTAGTTTATTTGAGTGTTTTTGTTGCTTCAGATTTTTATTTTTGTTTGGAAACATTAGTTACTCAGTTTTGCTGAAGTGAAAAACTCGTGTGTTTTAATCAATCTTAATTTTGTACTGTTTAAAGTTTTAATTTGATGAATGGTGTAAATTAATGAAATTTGTCGGTGGATGCTGTTCGGTTGTTTCTAAATTACTGTTTTATATGTACAAAGTTTTCTCTATGTGATGGATAATAATTTTTAAAATGCCTTCACTGGGTGTTTTGCCATTTGTATTTTGGAATCCTTTGTGAAAAGCTATAGAAATGACATTGAAATATTTCCATATTTTTTCCTCTTTTTTATTTACTTTTTATTCTAATTTATTGATCGCTGCCTAATAATTTACATTGTTTCGTTCAAAATGTTGTTCTTGTTTCTTTTGAACTCATAAAAGGTGAAGAGTCAGAATTTCAAGGTAAAATACTCCGTTGCTGTTCTTTTTTTGTTGAATAAATGATTTGACACAAATGCTCTCTGATATTTGTGTTGCCATTATTGGGGTGCTATGACATTGCTATCCACATCTAAAATCTTAGATTTATGCCAAGACTTTCAAAAATATGGCCATGCAGTTTGTCAAATAGTGATTTAAGATGTAAACTGTAGATTTGTCGTTTGCGATTTTGTACTTGATTTGTCGTGTCCTTGGGCCGTATATTAGTTGGCATACATTGGGATGGGATGTCGCACATTCGAGAAATATAACAGTAGACAAGTGTTATTAAACCCCAACAGGATCGGCTGGTTCAATCGTTGAGCGGGTGAACCAACTTCTAACTGATCCGGTTCTACAATTTAATCAGACAAGGAATTAGCACCAAACAAACCTCTGATTGGTCCAAACCGGACACCCCACACAACCTGGACAGACCCAATCTAACAAAGATAATTAACTCTCCATGATATTACAGTCACATACTCAACGGGCACATATTGTCAAGAGATTTTATGCCAAAACAAGCATTATCTTTGTTTAGCCGCCTTTACTTCCTTTTTTGCTGTAATCTCCATCTCTCACTGCTTGGCCATCATTGCACTATTAATAGTATTTAGCTTTTTTAGCTGTGTTTTAATAGTACTTAATGGACTTTGATTAAATTTAAACATATCTAGAGAGCTTGAGCTGGTCTATTGTCTTTCTCACACGACAATTTAGTTGTGTTGTTTGATGAATCCCGAGTTTAGGTAACTTTCAAAGGAGCAGAGAGTGGATTATCAAAGAGGCAAACCAAGAATTATTGGGGACAATTGGTGGGCACCATATTGTTGTTTTTTGTTTATTTGAAAATTGGATCCATGTGAAATGCACTGTTTTGTCTTCCACACTAGGTGCTGCTGAAATCCAAGAGACGAGATGCTAACATAATTTCTCACCCCAGATGACAATTTCTCATATTATGAAATTTCTATTTCTTTCATTTGATTTTATGTAATTTAGTCTCTTTTTATTTGCAGATCACTTCTCAGCTTCAGCATGACTAGGGAGATTCCTAATATTGAATCACCAAGGAAACGATCAGGTCTATTAAGAGATCAAGTTCAGCTGGTTAAAAGAAGGGATTCTGATCGTTACGAGATTGTTCCAATTCAGGATCCTCTATCATTTGAGAAGGGTTTCTTTGCTGTTGTTCGGGCGTGCCAGTTGTTAGCTCAGAAAAATGATGGTATGGTACTAGTCGGCGTGGCAGGTCCTTCTGGGGCTGGAAAGACAGTTTTTACCGAGAAGATCCTCACCTTTATGCATAGCATTGCTGTTATAAATATGGATAACTACAACGATGTGACCCGTATTATCGATGGAAACTTTGACGGTAAATTTGTCTTCATTTTTTCTGCTCCCAAGTTTAGACCTAATGATTTGGAGCATGTTTGGCAAAGCTTAAAATGAAGCAAAAATTACTTGTTTCCTAGCATTTTTGGATGTGTTACTTTTTTCTTTCAAGTAGAAAATGCAATTTTTTTAGAGTCAACTCTTAGTCTTACCCTTGTTGCCTACTAAAGTTATTTATTTTAAAATTTACTTATACATGCACAGCCAAATGTGCTTTAATTCAATTGATCTGTAGCGGCTTATCTGGCATCATTTCATATGGTTTTGTTGGTTTTTCCATAAAGAATCCAATATTCAAAATTACATTAAAAGTAGTCTAATTCCACATTTAAGCATATGATATTTCTGCTATATTGTTTGGACAGATGGGCAATCCTTCTAAAGAAATTCACATTTTCTTTGCTCAGTGCTTCTGAGCTTCTGACTAAGAAGTTATATAATCAAGTATTCTATTTGATTAAATCAGCTAATATAAGCCAAAGTAGGGGGCCTTAAATGAAGAGAGAGATCCTTGGGGCCAAATTCTATTTTCTTTCCTTTCTCGGGAGTTAATTCCAAGGAAGGAAGTGTTCGTCTCTGATAAAGTATTACCAACCTATTATTAAATAGATTGTTCCAATCATGAGGTGCACTCCTTGGTGCAGCATCTCTATTGAGGTTGATTATCAACTGTCTAGAAAGTAACTTCTCACTGAAATGACTGGAACTTATAAGTTAATTCATTATGGTTTTGTTCTTAAAAGTTCCTCAATGATATAGAATTCATATGGATTTCTAGTCTAGAAGATATATCAAATGCACTAGGAAAATTAACTTTGCATTACTCGCCAGTTTTCAATTATTGTCCATATTTGACTCATTTCACAGTTTCCATTTGAATCTGTCTGAATGAGTGGACTTGAATAATATTTGAGCAAATGCTTAATGGTGAAAATGGTGAAGTCGGCAAAGTCAAAATTCTGAATTGAGTAAATCTTTCAAGGAGGAAAAAAAAAGAGAAAAGAGCATGAAGAGTGCTTTTCCTAGTATAACTGATGTGCTTCATAATTTTTGAAACAGACCCTAGCCTGACAGACTATGACACATTGCTCGGGAATATTCACGGTTTGAAAGCCGGGAGGCCTGTCCAAGTCCCAATTTATGATTTTAAGACCAGCTCTCGCGTAGGTTACAGGTTAAGTACTTGTCAACTTTGTGGCTGACTTAAAGCTTTCCCCCTATCTTTTTCATTTTGAATATCTCATTTCTAATTTAGTAATAATTATGCAATTTCTAGTTATTAGTCCCTTGATCCATATTTCGGACCTCATTTTGAAAATCCATCTTCTTATTTGTTATGACATTTAGATTTGAAATGTATTTACCTTTCCGTTAGTAGTTTGACATCGGAGTTTCAAATGTGTTTATTTAATGATTTTCATGTTGTCTTGTTGCGTGGGTACAATGGGAATGGTGAGACGAAATTGGTTTGATGTTTTAAATTCACGGAACTTCATGATTTTGGTGTAAAAGAATTCATTTTATGATTGTTTAGCATCCAAAGAGACTTGGTCACAATTAGGATGTGAAATATGATTCTTGTAATATTTTTAATCGAGATTTTGAAGGATTGTCTAATTTCACAAACTGTAATGTTCTGTCAAGAACCAAAAGATGAAGGGGTGATCTTTATCTACTCAAAAGTGATTGCATCTGAAACTTTCGAGCAAGAAAATTAACAAAAAGGAAACATAATAAATAAGACGTGGTTAATGGGATATGGAATAACTAATAACTCCTGATCTATCTTGGAAATCATGTGACACAATCACCCCTAGAGTAATATAATGTATCATAATTTATGAAATAACTAATATGTCCTGTTACAACTTGGCAATCAAACAACACTCTTAGGGGTTCCTGTAGCTAGAACCATAATTCGGCTAAACAATTCTTTTTAAATGATATTTTTTTCTGCGCCATTTCATTTTAAAAATAACAATTCCATCCTTCATTTTTATAGAGATGATCTCCTGCACTTCTATGTCTATTTCTCGTGTATTGCTGCTTCATTTTATAGCTTTTTGTTTGTAGTGATCTCATGTTGTATTTGTTCATTGCTCATAAAGAATCACTATTATTAACCTTTCAAATTAAGCAGGACTGTTGAAGTTCCCAGCTCCCGGGTCGTTATTATCGAAGGGATATATGCCTTGAGTGAGAAATTGCGTCCTTTGATAGATCTTTGCGTTTCTGTTACTGGTGGAGTGCATTTTGACCTTGTCAAACGGGTTCTGAGGGACATTCAACATGCTGGACAAGAGCCCGAGGAGATAATTCAACAGATATCAGAAACGGTGTCAACTTCTTTCTTATTAATTATTACCTTTACGATATGTGATGGATTGCTGCAATATATCTTAGCTGGATATGAGATGATTTACAAATTAGTCTCACGGCATACCTTGCAAACAGGTGTATCCTATGTACAAGGCTTTCATTGAGCCAGATCTACAAACAGCACATATCAAAATTATCAACAAATTCAACCCATTCTCGGGATTTCAAAATCCCACATATGTTTTAAAGGTGAGTCTTCAGCCGCTCTGTATATTTAGAATTTGCTTGCATCTGATCTGACATTCTTGACTGAGACGTATTTTTGCTTTTGTTTAGTCATCAAGGCTGGTGACCGTGGATCAAATAAAAGCCGTTCTTTCAGAAGATTGCAGAGTAACTATGGAGGAAACTTATGATATATATCTTCTACCACCTGGTGAAGATCCAGAAGCATGCCAATCATATTTGAGAACGAGGAACCGGGATGGCAAATACAATCTCATGTTTGAGGTTTGGATGATGGGAACTTAAGCTTGTTCTTGGTTTTTTACTTATGCCAAGCCTTCTACCCTTTTATTTGATTCAATTATCCTTAGGAACTCCCTCTGTGTTGCCTTACACTATAGAATCAATCGTCTATAAACTTTCCTCTTCTCTTGGCGTAAAAACTCTGTTTTCACATTCTTAAATTCTCTCCTTCTCTCCTGGCAGCGTGTGTGCATGCACTTCTGTGTGTTCAATATTTCTTTGTATCTCTTGAGAAAATTTTGCTTGTAATCTTACCATGCCAAGTGCAGTGGAGGGGACTTTTTACTGTATAGCGCATAGGTCACTAGAGTCATGGAGTTGGATTTGTTTAAGAATGAGCAAATCAAGTTATAATTAAAAACTTCAAAGAAATCAATCTAGTTCTTTTGTCTTAAATTTTTGATTCAGAAAGGGAACATCGGAGAATTTCTGATCCATCAATAACATCTTAACCGTAAAATGGGAAGGTGAATGTTCTTTTTATTGGCAATTACAGTTGTAGACACATTTTACTCTGCTGTTTTGAGGCCTGCTTTTATTTCAGTTTGCAGGGATATGGCTGAAGCCTGTTAAATAACCTGTAAATCCATAATTGTAATTCTAGTATAGAACTGTTAATAAGTAATATGGACGATGTATATATTACTTTCAGGAATGGGTCACAGATAGCCCCTTCATTATATCGCCAAGAATTACTTTTGAAGTTAGTGTGCGCCTTCTCGGGGGTTTGATGGCATTAGGTTACACAATTGCATCCATCCTGAAAAGAAGTAGCCATGTCTTCATGAATGATAAAGTTTGTGTAAAAATTGATTGGCTGGAGCAACTTAACCGCAAGTATGTTCAGGTATAAATCCAGTATGTTGGTTGTTCTGGGTAATATTTAGTATTGATTTAGTTACTTTGAGACCCAATATCTGCCCATATTCTATTTGTTTTTGTGTTGTGTTGTGCGTGATGAATTTCTAATTGAAAATGATCCCAGATCAAAAATCATGTTTGGTTCTGGCTAGAGTTAAGACTATTCAGAAAAGTTTGTTTGTTGGAGAAATGCTCACTGGACATTAAACATTAATGGTCTACTTCTTTGTAACACAGTTATTTGTCACTGCTTAAAATTGATGTCTAAGCATATCAAGCTATGTGAAACAACGAAATGAGATATAGAATGAGTAATATTCTTGATGAATTTAATTTGTCTAAAGACTATCTGCTATTTGTTGGCACTAAATAGGGGAGAACACTGTCTTAGAAATTTTACGGATCTATTTATCAATTAGAGGCATAAGAGACTGGAACGACACCATCAATCATACAAATAAATTTGAGTTTCCTTTTTGAAGTTTTCGAATACCTCTCATCTGTCCTTGATAATACTGTTGTTAGCTTCCTATGTTGCCTACAGAGCACATTTATTGAACTATTAATTGATTTTTCTGACTGTTTATAAAGGTGCAAGGAAGAGATCGTTTATATGTCAAATATGTTGCTGAGCAACTGAACTTGGATGGTTCATATCTTCCTCGCACTTACATAGAACAGATTCAACTGGAGAAGCTCATAAATGATGTCATGGTTAGACACGTTTGAAATGATTTGTTTTTTTTTTCCTTCTTCACAATGTCAGGTCCTCACATTAAAAGTATGTAGGCACTGCCCGAAGATCTGAAGACAAAGCTCAGCATAGACGATGATTTGGCTTCAAGCCCCAAAGAAGCTCTTTCCCGAGCGTCTGCAGATAGAAGAATCAAGTTCCTCAATCGGTATACCCTGTTGTTGGTCGTCGCTTTTGCCTTAGGATTAGGAAATAGACTATTTTGAGTCGTGCAAGAAAATAGATGTGCTGACATGCATTTTCTTAGATTATTATTTTTATATATTCTTTCTTGTAGTGGTGATATTTTGTCCCACTACCATTGAATATATTTCACTTCTACTCTTCCAGACTAATATCTTTCGAGTTTAAAATACTTCTATAAATTTAGATGGGAAGTTCCTAGTTATTGAATTTTAGGATATTAATGGTAATCATTTCTTGAACTGCAAAAATTCTTTTGTTGATGGCAGTGCACACACTTTCTCGACACAGCGTGACAAAAATCTGTCAAAGCTTACAAAACTTGCTGTCAACAATAGGAGGTTGGACGGAAGAACGCCAGATTCACCAGCAGCGCTTGGTAACCAGGTGATGTTCGTTATAAATTACTTTGTTGACAATAATGTTATTATATTTTTCACATTGCGTAAAATTCATTATTATATATCATATACTATTGTTGACACTAAGGTGGTGGATGCTGATATTTCTTTTTGTCACTTGTTTCGTTTTGGTTTTCTTCTTTTCCATTTTAAACTACTCTGCCAGTAATAATATGTTGTGGCTTATAACGGATCAGCTTGTCCATTATTGTTTCAGGGCATCATTACACAGCATATATCCGAACAAATTTCTACACTGAATGAACGAATGGAAGAATTAACATCAAGAATTGAAGAAATAAACTCGAAAATTTCAACCTGGAAAGTGTCCGCTGGTGAACAAAGTTTGGTTGAAGCCTGCAATGGCATTCCTCTTGTTGTGTCTGGTGTAGGAAATGGCCCATTGGTCGGTTCTCTCCTTCCCCATTCCTCGTCTTCTTCCCAATTACTCGGGGAGTTTCCAATAATGGAAGAGGTAACTTGAGAATCATGCAATATTATTACCTGCAAATGCTTTTGATTTCATTGCATTCTATTATCTGTCTCCGTAAACAGGTATTGCTCATTGCTCGGGGACAACGTCAAGTTATGCATCAAATAGACAATCTTAGCAAAATCCTACATGACTATTTTGGGGAGAGGTCTCAGCAAGGACGAGCAGATGGAGCTATGACTGTTCAGTTGGTTGGAATTTCTTTAATTGTTCCTTTGGCTATTGGTGGCATAGGGATCTACTTGTTCAAAACTTGGTCATCTCAGAAGTGATCAAATTGGAGAGGGGTTGAAAATGTGTATATAGAATAAGAAGAAACGTGAACTGTTTAAAGATGTAAAAGTTTGTTATATTTCTTTCTTTTGCCCTTCTTTTTGCCTTTTTTGTTTGCTTATGGTGAATTCTTATGCCAGAGAAATGTCAAAATACCTCCCCACCACCAACCAAAAAGAATGAAAAAAACCCACGTACATCCCTCCCAAAATAAAAATAAAGTGACTTAAGTTTTTTTCAAAAAATTAATGGCCCAGAAAATGGAATAAAGAGATTAACTCATCAACTAGTTAATCATGAATTGTCCAAAGAAATGCTTTAATCTTTTCCCTATTCTTTACATATTCAAAAATAGATCTAAGTTTTATTTTCAGATATGGTAATAAGTTGGTCCATGAGTTAACGTTTCATTTTTTTTTTTTTTTTTAATGTATGTATTATATTCCATTTTTCCTTTTGTCAGCTATTGGCGGGGATTTACATTCATGAAATATATCTATTTGTTTTCAAAAAAAACAAAAAGTGTACCTAAGTTTTCATTTAATTTTTGTTGACATTTTAATCATCAGTCTTCAATTTTTGTAGCATTTTAAGTTTTCAAGTTTTGTAAAATTTATATCTCTAGTGACAGATTTTATTCAAAGTTGTAACTAACTGAAATCATTTTTCCTAGTAAACTTGTTACCAAGTGTCGCAACAACATTTAAATGCCACCTTTAAATTCTCAAGTATGAGATGAAATTTCATCCACTACATAGGCTAATGATCAACATATTTTTCTTTTAAAATTTGATTAATTTCGATTCAAAATAGCATTCAAATGTCACTTTTAAGTTTTCAAGTACGAGTGCCAAATGTCAACCGCTACATAGATCACTATAAACCAGTAATCAACATATTTTTCTTTTAAATTTTGATTAATTTCGAATCAAAATAGCATTCAAATGTCACCTTTAAGTTCTCAAGTACGAGGCCAAATGTCAACCGCTACATAGGACACTATAGACTAGTAATCGACATATTTTTCTTTTTAAAATTTAATTCATTTTGAACCACATAGCATAGATGTTCCCCCCGCCTCCTCCCTTAATATAGCTCTGTCTTCCGACTGGATACCAATTAAAATTAAATAGTATATTAACTTTTGAAACCGATATTAATATTGACCTTATAAAGAAATTAAAATAAGAAAAATATTATTTGAGATTCTTATAGTGCACAGTAACTTAACTGATATATATAATATTATGGGAAAATTTTTTGAATCAGACATTTACTTTACCAAAATAAAAAATCAGGTCCCCAAGTTTAAAATTGTAAAAATCAGGTTTTTTTGAATTAATGAATTATATTTCACAATTATTATATTAAATTAAATATTTAACTGTAATATAATATAATCCACCCCACCCCACCTCCACCACCACCACCACCACCCCCATTGCTCCGACGACTGTTTTCCGGCTGACTTAATTTCGACGACTACTCAGGTGACCATTGTGCCGCCGCTTAATTCCGGCGACTGCTCCGATTCCGACAATTGTTAAAGGCACAGTTATATGCAATTTGGTCACAGATTATTTCGAAATCACAGATCAAAAATGATAAAAAAAAAAATTATAAATCACATGTTATATTTTAAGGTCACAGAGTAATGAATTTTAAGGTCACAGTTACCATATAGATGGGTCACATATCATTTTATTGGTCACAGATCAAAAAAATTATGTCACAAGTCACGTATTTTAAAATTTGTGGGTCACAGTCAAATAGCTAAATCACAGACACCCAAAAAAATCGTCACTATTCAATAGCTAGATCACATATACCAAAAAAATCGTTCAAAAACTAGGTCACAGACACCAAAAAAATCGTTTCCCATCTCAATCCACCACCAATAATGGTCACATACACTCCTAGCTAAGTCACAGACACCAAAAAAAAATCGTCACTGTTCAATAGTTAGGTCACAGATACCAAAAAACATCGTTCAATAGCTAGGTCACAGAAACACTTCGTCCCATCCGCCCGACGTTGCCGCCACCTCCATCACATCGACCACCGATAACACCGTCGACAACCAACCACACACAGATCCGCCCGCCACAGCCACACACACAGATCCGCCACGCCAAAATCGAGAAACCACTGCAAAATCACCACCACTAGCCCGACCACCACCTCACCATTTTCATTTTCAAAAAAATCACAATGTGCAAATCACTAACAAGATTTGAGAATGAATAAAAACCCAATATCACCACAAATCAAAAACCCAAGANCGGTGAGAGATGGGAGAGATGAAATGAGATGAATTAGGGTTTTATATTTAAATAAAGTTGGTGGAGGTAGGTATATATTTAATTTAATTTAAAAATATTGTTATTAATATTAATTGTGAAATTAAAACCTGATTTTCGATTAAATAAAGTAAAAACCTGATTTTTTAAAAGTCAAAACTAAACAATTGGTTTAGTGTAATTTCGCCTAATATTATTGTGAGGACTCAGCTCTTGTTGATCTCCATTATTTTCAAAATACATTGTTCTCTATCTTACTTTTAATCACACAATTTTCAATAAAATAATATTACACGTAAACCCTAAATTTTCTTTATTTTTAACTACACATTCTCCACTAAAATAATATTTCAAAATGCATTTTGGACAAAAAAATTGGACTTAAACGGGCTCTTAATATTCATAGTATTATTGAATGTATTATTAGTCCATAGTTTCCTATCCATTCTCTCTTTTTCATCACCCTCCATAAATTCCCACTAATTTGAGTTTATATAATTGAGTAATGTTATTCATCTCCAGTAGGGTTACAAAGACAGTCTAGGTGACTCTAAATTATAGGTTAAATGAAAGGTAAAATTAAATGACTTGTTTAATTTCACCTATCATTTAAAACCACCTAGACTGTGTTTGTAAACCCACTGAGGATAAATAGCATTACTCTATATAATTAGTACCTGCTGGGCTAGTAGCTATACTCACATCCAAGTAGATATTAAAAAGCTAAATATAAATTTTATTTGTAAATACAGATTTGAGATGTGTACTCTAGTAAGGTTAAAATACTGTGGTGTACAGTATCCATGAGAAAAATAAAATAAAATATGTCATCCATTTTTTCTCTTACAAAAAACTCAAAGGTGAAATCGTAACTTCATCTGTCATGTGAATTTTGTATTCTTCCTGTACACTTTCCTAAATGTTCTCCATTTTAGTGTTTGAAGAGACCTCCTTAGTATAAAGAGTATGAGAGACAAGAAAATTTTAGAAAATATAAGATTAGATTGACCTCAGGTAATCCTTGATAAGTTTGAAGACCACGTTGGCGTATGAAGCTCCATCTAATTTTCCGAACACAATCCCATCCATACGGGCTTGAATTTCACTCCAAGATGCCATGTCTTGTAGCAAGTCTTTAATTACAGTGTCTGCTTCAACTATGGAGTTCCCTAAGCCACTCAAAACTTCAGGTAGAGATGAAGAAGGCCTCGAAAGCTCAACAAGGGTGACCTGATGTTTAAGAACGCATTTAAAATGCCAAAACTCAAAAAAACTTGGGGGACGGGGGACATAGTATGTTATTAATATGATTCATGCTTGATGAAGAGTATAATAATAAAGACAATTTTTTTACAGCCTACATTACACGAAATAACAGCATTATACATATGTCCCCAATGGTAAAAACACTGTTAGTCGCTCAACTTATAGTGGTTTTTTCAGTTTGGTCACCAAACTTTATTTTTTCCTATGTTAGTCACTCAACTCAGATTTTTATTTCAGTTTTAGGAACTTTGTTTACCTTCTGAATTAACAACAATGATGATGTGACATGAAAACATGTTCTTGCATTTTTTATATCGTACAAAATGCAACTAGAAAAAAAAAGTGTGTTGTTGGACAAGTGCTTTCTTTTTCCTTCTTCTTTCTTTACAAAACTGCAAGCACAACTTGTCTACAATACAAGGTTTCACATAGCATGAGGAAAAAAAAAAAGTGTATTAACGGATTTTCCATACCACATCATCATTAAGTTAACCATGAAAGCATTCAGTTAAGTCAGCAGGACAAAAGTGCCTAAACTGAAACAAAATGAACTCAGTGACTAACTTGGAACAAAGAAAAGTTCAATAAGCGAAGTGAATCAACGCTATAAGTGGGTGACTAACACGGTTTTCAAGACAAATTTATTTATTCAATTTTGTTTCAGCACATACTATACCACTAACTTTAAATCATATTTATAATTAATCCATTATACTATTCAAATTGCTGAGATGCAACAGTCTAATCTCACTTTCTTGGAACATCCCGTGTACCTAGCTGGTTCAACTTCGTTGTAATTTTCAGGATTGGTATCAGAAAAATCTCATGCACTCAGTCACAAACCAAAGCTTAAACAGCGAGAGACAAGCTCGACAAATCTAAAACAAAAACAATATAATTTAAACCGACCTGTTTGTCCAGTGGTATATTAGCCTTTTGTTTCGCAATTGCTACTGCTCGAGAGAGTCCCCCAATAGCATCGACAAGACCCCTTGAAGCTGCATCACTCCCGGTCCAAACTCTTCCCTGCGCTACTTCTTCCATGCTGTCCACCTGCAACATGATCACCCAAATTAAGTTACAAATAAAATTGTTGATATCCCAAGATGAAATGTGTTACGTCAAAAATCATACAGTCATTGATCTGGAAAAGGCTGCTTTGTCTCTGAATTGTTTATATGCATTCTGTGCTGACTTCGCAAAGAGTTCCGCTTCATCTGCACTGCAAATCATAAAGACAAGCATATCGTAAATAATATTCTGTAGAAACAGGAACCAATGACAAATACAACAATCAAGGAATAACCTAATCTAGAATTTGTATTTTTTTTTTTACAAATGTCTTATTTCTTATTGACACCTAATCGATGAGCTGAAATAGCACCTATTTAAAAAACAAAAAGAGGAGTTGAAATTGCAAAATAGGGCATTCA